GATTTTAGGAATGTTAAATAAAAGAGAGTTGCAATGGCCAAGTCGGGAGAAAATGAAAGCGTGAATAATCATTGCCGTAGTTCGTTTTGATAAGTATTTTCTGATAAGTGCTATATTACGTAGATGAAAGTTAACAGATTTTATGAGTTTACCAATGTAATTTTGCATGGAAAGCTTGTCATCAAATGTGATGCCAAGGTTGGAAATGGTAGAGGAAGTTTTAATGATAGATGAGCCAATATGGAGTGAGTTGATGTTAAGACAAGCATCTTAACTGCTAAGCTATTCAACTCACTCAATTATTATCATTACAGCTTTCTCACAACTAACAACAATTACACCTCCTCCCCAAAAGTCAAATATAACATCAAGGGTCTCAGATGATTAACTTTACCGGAAAGACACATTTTTTTAACTAAAAACTTAAAATGAGCATTCATCCGAGTAATACATACATCTTCTGGGTACTACTCACCTCTGCTGTAACTTGAATTGGAAAATGTCGTACTCTGTTGTTAGCACGGGCAGAGAGAACGTACTGGCCAGATGCATCACTCTTTTCTCGTACTAGGAAATTACCATCATTGACGAGTAGTACTTCTGCATCTCTACGTGGAATGGCGCCATGGTACCACACTTGTTCGTCGATTGGCTTCTCCCTACTCTGCCAATTAGTTTAAATATAAGTAAACATTGTCAACAGTTTCAGTCAATGTTTCTAGTTTATTTTCTTGAGCTATTGAAAAGTATGAAGGTATGAAAATATATTAAATGGAATTGTGGGAAATAATACAACTAGTTACATATGTCACTGAGTGGAGTTAGGAAACATGGCAATTGACAGTCATGTCATTCAAAATAGAAGAAGAACATCTCCATGAGATGTGAATATTTTTATTGGTAGTCAGAGATGTTAGTAATGGGGGTGGACCGGAAGGAGAATATTTAGGTTCAACATTTAGTTTCATTTTCTTTATCTTTTAGAAAATCTGGGATCTCATGGACAGTTGGAATTTTGCGCTTCTTTACCAAAATGCTGTCAGAAGCTAAAAAAAATATAATTTTTATATTACATATCATCCTAACATATCTGGATTAAAATACAAAGATATGTCTTCACTTCACCTATGCATTAGAGCTGGCATCTTTAAAGGCAGGACTTCATATACAAAATCAAATCAATATGCCTAATGACTAGCTATTTCTTATTAAGTTGACTTTCAGCTGAAATGATTGAAAGAAGATGAATTTTAAAGAAACACCAAATAATAATATAGGGGGATTTATACGGCGCTTTTTGCCAAGGGATACAACCCCTGGTCATTGGATCCATAATTATAAAACCAGTTAAAAGTGCCGCCTCCCCCACTCCCTGGGGAGTATTCCTAGTTGTGCTTGCAATTTAATGAAGATAGAGACAATGCATTCATTGCCACATCATGCTAACAGGTACCCATTTATTCTCCTGGATGGAGAAACACAAATGTAAATAAAGTGCCTTGCCCAAGGACACAAACAAAGTGCACAGCAAAAATTTGAACATCAAACCTCAAGGTTGAGAGATGGAAAAGCATCCACTGTGCCAACTTCTCCCACAGTTAGGCACACATACAAATTTGTTCCTTAAAGACATTTTTTTTAATTATATAACTCTCAATGTTGTTGAAGACAGCTTGTAACTCACATGTACAACTGCTTTTTCTGCTACTGCTGATTCTCCATTAAATTTCTTATTTTTGGGTCTCATAATTGAGAATAACTTCTTGCCACTACTGGAATCGTTTTGAGCATTTGGCTATAATAAATAAATAGAAAATAATAAATATTATATTTATAGTCAGGTGGTGTTAATACCATAAACATAAAAAAACACCAAATTTTCATATATATTTTGGGGAATCAGTAACACAAATAGTAATAGATGTGCAATAATGGTATGGAATGTAGGAGAATGTCCAACATATGATGTTTGTTCTTGTTCAAAGTAAGCATTGATACATATATAATCACAATGTACTCACTTTAATGGTTGTTCCTCTGTTTTCATCATTGAATTCTATACCAGGGGAAGGGATTTCATCTCCTAGTGCTTTGATAGAATCATCTAATATCATATACTGAGCACTCAGCTTGGCCTCTAAGCAACGCTTCTCACCAATCAATTTTAGCACTGTTCTGTATGCCTTCTGTTTCAACAGTAAACTTAGAAGAAAATAAACTGTTAACTTATTATGCCCTGTACTCCATTTCTGTGGAATTATTGGGGAATTATCTATTAGTTTGTAAGTAAACAAGCCATACATAAGATGTGATTTTAGGCATTTAAGGCGAGACCTTTTTTATAACTTTTTTTGCAAACTTATTTTTTAAAGATCGTCAGAGTAGGACAGAGGAAAAAAAAAATTGCATTTGAATATTTAAAAACTGGGGGAAAAAGTGGAAAAAATGGTGGTTATGCCCATTTTCCTCTGCTTTTGAAATATTCAAAATTTGCATCTCATTAATTGCTTCCGAGTTTTTTTGTCAAATATGCTTGTGTGTGAAAAATCAGTTCTACTATATATAATTTTTTTTTTCTGCAGAGCCTGGCTTTAATATAGCTCTAGTCGGTGTATAATAATGTAATGTGAGGAAATATTTATGGGTGTGCCTAAGGCATACATATAAAGCTTGTTGAACTCACTCCTGAATCATGCTCTCCTGTGCATCTGTGGGATGTATAGATTTGATTTCTTCTTCTAAGTTCTTCAGTTCGTTTTCCTTCTCTGATAAACTCTCCCGTAAGTCATTTAATTCTTCACCAATTTGAGAATGTCTGATGGATGAATTACAATTTAATGTTTTTATTGTTTTTGACAAATGTTAAATTGTTACTGTAATAAGTAAATATGCAATGCCCCTCACTTGTCCTACCTAATTAGGTAGCATTAGCTGATAAATTATGATTTAGATATATATTTAATAAAAATTAAAGTTAAAATGTCACCAAATTATTTCTTAAACTGTTTTTACTGGGAAATTTTAATCAATAACAATAATATTAATAACAACAATAACAATAATGATAATAATAACAAATAAACAATAACAACAAGGGCCACCCTCTATAGTGTAAAAGAAAACAACAACATGTGTTTTATCCAAAAATAACAATGAAAATAATTTAAAATAATAGTTTATCAGGAGCGCTAAACATACTTCATTACATAATATTTTTAAAAACCATAAAAATAAATACTGTAATTATGAGGCGAGTTGAGTGGTAATAGAATTAAATAAAAGAGTGTTTAGTTTTCATACGTGTGTTCTATGGCTTCACAGGTTAGGTTATCGAGTACTATTTCATCTTGTTTGAGCATGTTTTCGAATTCATTCATAGGTGAGGTATCAAACTCAAACTGCTCCGTGGAAGGAGGATCTATTCTGAAGGAAATAACAAAACAACAGTGTTATGTATAGTGAATTTCATCTGTTCTATTGGATATATGAATAACTAAAAACTATTTTTAATTCATCACAAGTTCATGTCAATGAAGATCATACTTATGATGTTTGCTACACCTACTTTGAGATGTACAGTATTACAGTGATCCCTGACTAAAAATTAAAGAAATATTTCATGTTGGCATTGACCAGGCTGCTACAATGACCCAGTCAACGGAAGCTCTTCAACAACTGTATGAATATTGATGAAGATCAATCCCAAAGTGTCAGAAGGTTGGAGGAAATTTGAAAGGTATTTACTGTAGGGGTTATTGAGTGCCTTAGACTACGTTATGAGAAATATCTTGGAAAAAATGTGTTCATTGATTTTAATGTAGTCTTATTAAGAACAATATCGTGGAAGAATGCATTCATTGATTTTAATGTAGTCTTATTAAGAACAATATCTTGGAAGAATGCGTTCATTGATTTTAATGTAGTCTTATTGAGAACAAGGGTTATACGTTCTCACTTCAGACGTGGGGCCACAATTAATTTACGTTTCGTTCTTTATTAGAACATTGTTTTCTTGGTGAATGTAACAATTCTTGTAGCTGTGTTCTGGACAAGCCGAAGGTGATGGAGATGTTTATGTAAGCCATTGAGAAGTGCATTACTATATAATAATTACACTCCTTCAGCTGGCAGCATATCTTTGATTTACATGTATATACAAGCTAGGTCTCAGAAAGTGCATCTTGTTTACTTTAGTCTAGTATTGTATACATTGTGTAAAGCAAACTTATGACTATATACGGTAAGCAATAGCTGAAACTAATGATGAAACTTACTTATAATTTTCAATAAATCCAATGTATTCATTTTCAGGTTGAATGTCATTAATATTCTGTACAACAGTATCATTAATTGCTGAAAATTCCTCACTGCTTGTGTTTGTTAGATGTGCCATATGCAGCATAATTTGTTTTCTGAAAAGAATAATCAAGTAAAATGTGTTTATAGGTATCCTAGGCGGGCCTCAAACCAGTGCTGATATTTAAAACTGTAAGAACAGCATCTTAATGTTCAGCCACTTGACTCACAGCAAATTGAGTTCAGTAGCACAACACACTTAAAATGTGATATTTTCACTATCATTTTTAGAATATAATACAACACTTATTAAGCAAATTTGAAGTAGAGTATTTAGATAAATATGAATGAAAATTTTGAGAGAATAATTTCAAAAGGCAACCTATTTGTTAACGCTCATAGGCCTAGTTTAGACTAAGTGGATAAACCCGGCTCAACTCACCGGGTTTATCCACCTGCCAGTCTGAACTAGGTGACTTATCTCAAGCCGGGCTGTGTTCCTATAGTAACTCATAAACTTCTATCAAAAATCTAAATTTTACATATATTTTGGCTACGTTCAGACTTGAAGATAAGCCGGGCTTGAGTTAAGCCCGGCTCAACATCAAACCCAGCTTAACTTTGCCAGGTCGTTTAGACGGGATTAGCCAGGCGAGAATTTGCATAATAATGAACCGTAACCAGAAAACGCGTTTCAAAACATTGCTCGCGAAACGTACGCTCGCTTACACTGTACGTAATTGAATGCTGATTGGTCATTTTGTCACCCGAAGTCAATGCAAGACCCCCCGCAACGATTAAAGCCCGGCTTAGGAAAATTAAACATGGTGGCACGCCAGGCCTAGTTACTATAGGAACACCGCCCGGCTTGACATAAGCCACCTAGTTCAGACTGGCAGGTGGATAAACCCGGTGAGTTGAGCCGGGTTTATCCACCTAGTCTGAACTAGGCCTAAATTGACCAGCTGTGCTGGTACATATAAAGTTCCATTGAACAGTAATGAAAAACACAAAATCTGTGAGTTAATGGCTGTCAACTGTTTTTGCCAACATGGCTATATACTAATATTTAATTCCATTAACAGAATTTGGGCATTCAAATGCTTTAAAGTTACATTTAACCTGATAAAGCAACAAAAGCTACAGTATGAATTTCAAGTTTAACAAAATACAACACATTTTATTGTGGAAGGGTACTGTATGTTGGTGGTTCAGTAGTGGATTTTGACTAATTCCGCCCCATTCCATTAATGACAGCAAGATTTGGACAACAGTTGGTCTGTAATGATGCCCACTACACTTACAAATTTGTCTGTTAATCTGCTATTCCCACTTGTATTCTTTCCTGTTTTAACATACTGATTATAAAGCAAGCAGGACTTGCAATTGGACAATCATAAGCTCCGTCATTAAGAAATATGATGTAGCATTTACGATTCCATTCAGAAATTATCCAACCTATCATTATTATTTGAATATTTACAGTTTCAGGCATGCATGAAGTGGTCACTTAGAATTCAGAAAAGCACAATGTGTATAAATGAAAAAAGGTGAATCTGTGGTTGAAGGTTGCATAGATTGCCTACCAATTCCCAGGGTATTTCAGTATTTAATTCCCATACACAATTTCTTGTGGCTAATAAGACTTATCACAAGCCTTGAGTAGAGTATTTGTGCATACAATGATAATAATAATAATAATTCTGGATTTATATAGCGCCTCACGTTGACACAACCTCAAGGCGCTTAACAACAACAGAGAAGAAAAAAAAAAACATAGCAATAATACATAGCTACATAGAGAGAGTGATGCTCACCCAAGTATGGCTCATGTAATATAATTGTTTTTTTCTGGTTCTTAAACTATTATTTTTTTTTTTATCTGACACATTTCGACTTCTTGTGGAGGGGTGCCATGAGCATTTTCCTTCAAATGGTTACTGCTGCTTTATAAGTTTTCATCATCATTATTATTATAGCATAATCATTATCTTAATTAATGTTTACAGAACAAGTGTACTTGCTGGTGGATGTGAAAATATACAAAGGTATGTCTTACAGTTGCGAAACCTGACTTTCCTGAGTCTCTTGAAGGCACTGAAGCAGTCTGGGTAATATGGTTTGTCTGTAGTGTTCTTGGTGAAGTTCAGCTGCTCTTAGAGATAGAAGGTAGTCGTTGTGTATCTTGTGCAACTTGTTTGTACTCTTACGGTACTTGTCCTTGGATTTCTCCAAGTCTCTGGGCTTAGCCTGTCTCTTATACACATCTAGATGTGTATAAGAGACAGTTTTAATGTAGTCTTATTAAGAACAATATCTTGGAAGAATGCGTTCATTGATTTTAATGTAGTCTTATTGAGAACAAGGGTCCCCTTAGCGGCAGTATTTTCGCCTTAAGGTATTATTTCTAACACTTTCCATTGTTATCGTTTCCCCCTATGGTAGTATATAGTCGTATATATACATATATATATATATATCAAAGAATTAATTTGTATTTGAACTATATTTATATAATTTTAAACAAAAAGTTACTACCTCCTCCACTCCCTGGGGAGTATTCATAGCCATGCTTAAAATTTAATGCTGCACAGACTCAATGCCACAACAATATACCAGTACCCATTTACAGTATATTCCTTGGAGAGTGACAAACGCAGGCGAAGTGCTTTGCTCAAGAACTAAATATAGTATCCATCTACTGTAAACCTTTCAGTTAAAATAATTCATGAAACATAATAAATAAAATAGGAGTATGGCAGACGTGAGGCCACAATTGATTATACGTTTCGTTCTTTATTAGAACATTGTCAAGAATGAATATGAGTCCAAGTCCTGCTGATAAAGCAAATTGATAATGTAGAACAAAGGCATAGTTTGCACCTTATGTTTAGATGAATAATGCAAGTTCTTTAGAGGCGCATAGTTCATAGTTTAGAGAAGGCTTGTATCTTCTTATTGCTAGCTTCAGCAAACAAAAATTTTCTGACCAATGTACAGAACCATGAATAATATCAGTATTTTCAAATAATAAAGACTTTATGAGATTGTTTTGAAGCTGCATCGTCGGCAGTCATAAGATGAAGACCAATATATGGTAAAACCTTCACAACTCTCAATTTGTTCATGTACACTACTATTTGCATTATGAGAATAATAAATAAGAACATGAAAAATAGCAGTGTAATTCGTAGCATACAGACATTTAGGACAAAACAGATGAGATTTATGACATTGATAAGCTTTTAAGAGCTTTTTCAACTGTTAATTTGGCAGCAGCGTTTGGTCTCTGGAGGCCTATGATGCACTTATTCATCAGCAAAGCGATCTATTGTACGATTATCTAAACTGTATTCACACAATACATAAATTGTCTTTTCTACACAAGACATAATGGACAAAACTGTGACCACACATTAAACGGCAACTTGTTCAAAGAACAAATAGTATCTACCATCACATTATTTAAATGGTTCTTTTAATAGTGGAAAAGTTTGAAATGAAAAAGGAAAAGGACAGGATGATTTAATTGTGCTGGTCCTATGCAATGTAAACATGAAGCAAGTTTATTGCTAGGAAGCAATGAACTACAAAATGACTGAGACCCAAGGCCATCATTTCTGATGTTCTGGAGAATTTCTATAAATCCCGCATTAATTAAGCAACCATGAGAAATAGTTTACGTATTTGTATGAGGATTTTTGTTTTTTTTTATTAATAATAATAATAATAATGGGGAGAATTCCATAATATTGCAGCTAGTAATCTGTGCAGTTGTGTTCGAATCTACCAGGTACACACTTGTACTCCTGGGTGGAGAGGGGCAAACGTAGGCAAAGTATCTTGCCTAAAGGACACAAGCAACGCGACGAGCGTCGGTCTCGATCTCCCGATCCTGCGATCAGAAGTCCTATGCCTTACACGCTGCGCCACATGTCTGTTACCTATGCATTATAAACCCTTAAATTACTGTATATAAAATTGTAAAAAAATAAAATAAAAGACACCAATATTCTTTAGCCTGAACCCTTCCAAATTAAAATAAGTACTTATAATTATATGAAATACTTTGAAATTGAAAACTAAGGTATTATAGCCAATGCATATTGCATAAAATTTATGAAATTTCATATATTTATTTATAGCAGTATCATCTTCAATATACAGTACTTTTGTAATAACATTTTCAGTATAAAAACATTTCATATAAAACAGCACATTACCAAAATTTACTACATTCAAATTAATTTAATTAGAAAGTACCCTTATAAAACAAAGCAAGAGATACCATAAAACAAGAATCTTTAGAGAAACAGAACATGGAAATGAAAATGATAGCAAAACTAGATTTCCTTAATACTTTTACAACTAAATAAAGAAACTCAGTATTTATTGTTTTCAATTTCTTTCACACCAACAAGTTCAATTAGATTGAACCCTAGCCAGCAATGAGGGCGTATCCCCATACTTCGGTTTGGGTGCTGGCATGGTATTCAAATTTCACTTCTTTTTTATTTTGTGGTTTTGGTTTCCGTTCCATCTTTACACTTGCCTGATAGCAAAGTTCACACGCAAAGTTTAAGCTCATTCAATTTGATAGGAAGCCTTCCTTACCTTTCGGAATGGCCTCTTCGTATTTTAGTTTGGAATCTTTTGTTTCCCTTGCTAGTCTATGGTACTTGGCTAGGTTCTCCTTCACATCTTCCTTTGCCTATTTAAATCAAACACACAATGATTGCATTTAGAAATTTACTGAAGGGAAAATACTGTTTTCTTATTCTGGTTACAATTTTATGCATAAATCTGTTATTTCAACATATACAGTATTATGAAATTGTTGAAGAAATATAAAAAATACATACAATAGCTTGATTAGCTCATCATTCAAAATGATCCAAAATATTATTCATACCAAATGCATACGTTAATTG